ATGAAGTCTGGTTGGAGGTTTTCTCTTCCTTAACAACAAACTGCACTTTTAGGTTGGCAGCCCTCAAACACGTCCCATTTGTTTGTGTTAGTGCTTATATCACATTTGTTTATTATTAATGACCCGTTTAGTGCACCGTGTCCTCCCTACATCCAGGACCATGAGTCCTAGCAGGAAGCAGCGGTGCTGGGAGTTAACAGGGAGTTGTTCTCTGACAGCTGCCACATCTGCTGCCTTTCCTAAGTGTCTTTACGGCCCTAATATCACTCAGTAACGATGGGCCGAACGGCAGGGCGTCGCTTGCACACTGGATCGGCGGAGGAGGCCCAGCCCCGTGCACCTCTTATCAGTGATTATGACTGCAGCATGTTTAACAGCGGTTGTACAGCAATTGCACAGCCAAGGGGAGGGAGAATAATTGTATTTTCCAAGTGACTGAGTGCAAACGCTGTGCACCGCTGTGCTTTTAGGCTCGTCTCTGGTAGTAGGGAGTGAACGAAGGTATCTGGATATTGAGTGTGAGAGCAGGGATTGATAAAGGGTGTGAAACAGGCAACTAGAGGCTCTGGTGTGTGCAGGCCTCCCAAACCTGAAGTGTAAGCTCAAAGCGAACACCTTTGACCAGGTGTCACCAAGACGTACACGTCCTGTTTTCACCCCATCAGCGATGAGGCTCTGAATAGCATCCTGGGTGTCACTCAGTCCACCTGTCAGGGTCAGGAGGAAGTCCAGCAGCTATAAGAAGAGCTGAACGTTGTCATTAGGGCAAATTTACACTGACAGTAGAAAACTGGCTAATGCAAGTTAGCAAGTGTTAGCATAATGAAATCAATCAACATTTGCTGTCACGGAGCAGGTTAGAGCAGGGGTGTCCAATCCTGGTCCTCGAGGGCCACAGTCCTGCATGTTTTAGATGTGTCCCTCTTCCAACACACCTGACTCAGATGATCAGGATCGTTATCAGGCTTCTGCAGAGCTTGATGATGAGCTGCTGTACCGGGCTGCAGGGTTGACGGGGTGAAAGCTGCAGACCGGTACAGCGGGCTTTAGTGTTGAAAGGGTTAAGTACAACAACTGAGGTTCATGTTTGGTTTTATTTTTAGCCACACAGCGGCAGAGTATTACTGTTTCTCTTAGTCTGGTGTAATCTCAGGTTGTTAGTTTTTATCATATAATGATGAGAAGCGGCCCTGTACTGGTTTTAGTATAACAGCTAACAGACGCTCAGTGTGCTGTTCTGCTGCGTATCTCATGTATCGACTCTCTCATGTGAAGGTTTGGGTCTCTTCCACTCCGGTTTGAAGGAGGCCAGCCTGACCCTGGTGCCTTGGAGAGCACTGGAGGCCTTATCTGCTCATTGTGGCCACTCACACTCATAATCCTGTGGAGGCGAACAAGTGCCTGGAAGAGTTAGACGAACCCCAGAGAGGTGTGTAGCAGACAGAGTTTGATACAAGATGAAGCTGTTGTTGTAGGAATGCCTCCGTCTGGTTTATAGCAATAAATAAGTCCTTGTGATTTTACCTTTTGATTTATTTCCACAACAACAGGAAAGAGGCGGGGCATTTATGAATAAAGGAAAACACAGAAAGAGGCTTGACGCAGACTTGTTATAATATGACTGGGTTTGAATTTAAACAGTTGGATTTCTTTAATTGCAGAGAGACGCTGATGTCAGTAAACACGGCGACACGCAGACAGCAGCCGTGTTTACAGATCAGATCCACACATGGAGCTGTCGTCAGTCGGACTCACAGACTCCTAACGAACTGTTAATTGCTGCTCGAGTCCAACTGCTTGGCTGCACCAGCAGTCAGCTCAGAGCTCAGCTGCTGTGTGTGGGTTTCTTTTTTTTCCAACCAAACTGGCCTCTCTCACACCCTGCTGTGAAAACCCAGTCATTTCCCCTGATTGTTTTATCGGAGCCTGGCAAGATATTACTGATGCACATGTCCCAGTCAGAGTGGCCTAATGACACCCCAGGGGTAAACTGACCACCATTTGGTGATCATCATAAAGACATTACAGCCAGTATTAGAAGCTAAATATCTACTGTGTTGTCCCTTTTTTTGTCCCACAGTACTTCTGTAAAGGCAGAGCAGCAGGTTGTTTGTTGTGTTTTTAGAGGTCCGTAGCTCCGTT